TCTCCAACTGGAACAATTTTTTGGGTTTCGATTCTACTTAATCCCAACATTTCCATTATGTAAATGATAAAAATAAAAACTTTCATTGATACAATTAGAGACTTTTAAGCCACGAAACCCCTGACACTCTTGCATGTGTGTATCCTTATTTTATAAAAACGTGTTTTTTTTTCTGTTTTAATTCCTGTCAGTTTTATTTATTAGCCTGGTTTTAAAAGTCTTTCAGAGAGCAGGAGTAGAAGTTAGCTCGGTCTTCTGAACATCAGCAGGGGTCGGCTTCAGTATTATTATGTTTGCTCCCTAAATTGGACTGTTGTGGTGAGAACCAGGCTTTGATGGAGCCGTGAAGTGAGAGCGCCGCAGTCGGAGTAGAGCAGCACATCTGGCTCAGACGTACAGCCGTCGGCAGAGACCGTCTGGAGTTATTAACTGTAATGGTAGCTGTAGTTGCCACTTTTTTTTTTTTGTCGTTGTGTTGAATCGAGTATCTGCGCTAGTTGAGAAAAGTTTCAAAAGTTCTAAACAGCCTCCCTTGGAGCTTGATTCACGTTGGAGTTCGTAATAATAGTTAACGGCTAAACATGTATCCATTCGGTGTCGTCTCTGTTTTGTATTACACTTGTTTTTTAAGTAGCTATTACAGTGCGGACTGTGGTGTTTGGAAATCTTTTTGTTGAAGCACATACTGTTTCCATTCTCGGCGCTGGAGGGGAAGAGCAGAGCGAGGGACTCCTGGGGTATTGAGTTCCCTGTATCCATCATTTTCGACGAGTCGGGACCTTGGAGTAGCGCCAGCAGCGTCTATGCTAGCCAGCCGTAACTGACATTGAGTGCATTGTTTGGCGTTGGAAGCTCACGGCTGTGGCCTAAAGGTACATTCCTGAGATCAGAATGCTGTTTGAAACACAAACAGCCTTTGTGCCCTCGCTGCTCTCCTACCCTGACTCCCTCATCCACATCAAGCCTGGAGGAGTCAGCTACCTCCTCCCGCTCATGTGTCAACATGTGGGCTATCATTTTACTGACACACACACGCACACTAATGTGTCATTTTGATGATGTGGTTCCGGGCAGGTATATAAGCATGATTATCTCTTTGGAAAGCAGTCCTGTCATCATTTTTTTTGTTTTTTGCTCAGTGTAACAAACACATTAAGGAAGGTTTTGGAGTTTTTGTTAAATTACAAATAAAACTTAAAAAATCTCTGAGTTGGCTTGTGGTAAAAAAAAAAAGTGTGACTTTCTTCTACCAAAACAACAGGCTGTGGGCCAAATTATTTAAAGCATGTTTGTTTGGCAGGAAAAGTCCTCAAACCACAAAACACGTTTTTTTCTTGTAAGTGAGAAACATTAATAAAAACACAATTATAATTATATATATATATTTGCGTTTCTTTGTCTTAGTCTGCAGGAAACAAGGTGCACCACAACATTGTTGTGTATATTCGTTTATCAATCGAGTAAATCAGAGCAGACCAGTAAGTACTGATAATAATTTTCTAGTTGAATCAGAGATGTAAAAGTGCATACTTGACATTACTGCGGAAAATATTTGTCCAGTATGAACCAGTAAATATTTAAAAAAAGAATCTCCTTAAACAGACACTGGACAAAGATATAGTCACAAACATGATATTTTATTTTTAGTTTATAGTATTTTTATAGTACTTTTTGTTCATTTTTAAGGGTTAAAAACCTGATCAAACATAGTGTACCTCAGCTAAACATTTATGTCATATCGCCTTAGTATCGTCTGGTTTTAGAAGCTATTGAACTCAGTAATAGTTTTTAGGGCTAACACCATGGTTCGGTTCCGTTTGCAGCAGGAAGTACCACCAGTGTCAGATCACTACTGCTGTAGCCAACCCTGATGAAGGGAACAACCGAAGTGATTCTTAGGAGATCTTGAGTGGCACAGTGGTACAGTATGGTTCTTGTTCTTGTTGGCCACGGAGAAGGTTCCAGATTTGGTTCCATTTTTTTTCCCCCAGGAAACTGTTGCCTAGCATCTCAAACAGCATCAGTTTGAAAACTGTTAAATTCGTACGGTTACTACTACGGCTGTTGTACCTTTCGGGAGAAGGGAAGTCAAGGTGATTTCTTGTTGGGCTAGAGTGGCACAAATACAGGATTTTCGTTGCCCATGCGGAAGGCTTTCATTTTCTCCAGTCGTAGGTTAGGTCGAAAGGCATACGGTGCGAAGACTCTGTCTGTTAAACCTCCACGTGGAACCCTGATGAAGAGATGACCTGAGAGAGAATCTTCTACTTCAAAGTATTCAGTAAAAGGGTACTACAGTTTTACCACAAATATCGAGCTGACAGGTCAGAATGCAGCCTCGTCAGCTTTCTGGGGAGAAAAGAAAAACTGGCCTCACTTTCTATTTGGCCACATTTATTATATACCTAACGTTCTGACAAAGTGCTTCACGCTGCTCAGACGGCGGTGAAACCAACTCACTCAGCCTGAACTGATAAACACAGCACGCCTGTATTCTAGAAGGGTCAATGTCAGACCACATGATAGAGAGACTCGCTGCCGGTGAAAGATGTGCAGCTCTGATTCCCTGCTCTATTATTCCCACACTGTTGTAGCGCAGTGATATATAGGATGTTTGCTCTGGTGAGAGATGTTGTGTAAAGACTCTCAAGGCCGGGATGGATTCTCAATTACTTTGTGCTCAAAAGCTCTGTAGCGTTTGTGGTCGGTTGATTTACGGTTATCAATCAGGATGTCGTCGCTTCCACTGATGCTGCTGAATAAAAATCTCTGACGTCACTATACAGAACAGCACAGTGAAGTTCCTGATAAAATCTCCGCTCCTCAACGTCTTCCGCAGTGGAATTCAAATCTTTCTCTATGACATTTTTCCGAGGAGTTACTATCTCCCTGTCTCTTTTGGGATTTTTCTCTCCATAGTTGTGTATAGATTTTTAACAACTTGCTGTTGACTGACAAACTGTAAGATGTGAGATCTGGCTATTTGTTTCGACTAGGGGTTGATCGCAAGGCTGTGTGATAGAAATTGATCGATTCAATTTTTTAAAAAAATATTATCTTTATTGTTTGATTTTGCACATTTACAATCACATAGCTAAGTCCCCTTCTTATACGCCATCTACAGGCTGCCTATTTTTTGCCAAACAAGACTTGCATAATGGTTACCAGGAGTTAGAGGATTTGCACGAATTACCGAGAGAAAATTACTGACTCTAATAGTTTCTTCCAGTTTAGCCCTAGTTGTGGTTTCATTATTAGTAGTACTGTACGTAGTACTATTTTCTTGTTTTTAGAAACAAGATTACAGACCCCATCTTTAAAAACACTTTGATATACCACAAATTACCTGCTTAATTTAGGATCGTCTCAGACCAGAGACACCACTATAAAGGATGCAAACTGTAACATTTTAGCTCTTTGAGATTTATTTTGTTAACAGCTGTGGATATTTGAGGGTTTTTTTTAAATCGGAAATAAAACAATAAACAAAGAAAATATAATGTAACCTTAATAAAAAAAAGGAGAATCACTCTTGGCTCATTCCTTCATCGGGGGAGTCCACAGCTGTAGTTCACACTGTGATTTGGCAGAATTTTTACACCCGACTCGACCTGGGAACTAGTTGGAACCAAAGACGGGAAACTTTTACAACGGCACTGATTCAGACCAAAACAAATCATTTATAGCCTAAAAAATTACAATTTTATCAATTTAGGATTTAACTGTGACACTACACCAGTTCGCTGATAAACACACTATTACATGTACTACTCCATGTACCTTTATTCATGCAGTACTCTACAGAAATGGTATGTTTCTCAACATCTGTGAATTTTTTTTATTTATGTCCATTATCAAAATGAGTATGTTGGTTTTTATAACAATGTTGTATTATTTTGACAAGTACAGTATAAATACATTGTACTTGTTACATGATCAAGTCGATCAGAGGATGTCAGGTACTGTAAATACTGGGTGAATAAATATAAAACACATATGAAATAAACAGAAAACAGTAATTTGAACAATATATTACTATTATTATTATTTATAACAACAACAATAATATAGAAATATTATAATAATTCTATAAAATAGTAATGTAATAGTGGCGCTTTGGCCCAGAGGCAATGTCTCTGTCATTAGTGTTGGAACCCCAGGGTTCACCTCCTGGGCAAGTTCGAATCCCGGTTAGGGCGGTTGGTACCTTCCAGTGGACTCACCACCTGCAGGAAGGTTTGGTACGGTGCAATGTGATTTGGGTGGCGACTGCTGCCCCCGCGACCCGGTAACGGATAAGCGGATGAAAATGGATGGATGGATGGAGTAATGTAATAATGTAGTTTTGTATTATTGTTGTTATTATTTTTTAATAATATAATAAATTACGATATTCGTATCAGCCATTTTCGTTTTATGATTAATATGATTTATTTACAAATAATACAAATAAAATACAGGTATTATTATTATTGTTATTGTTATTGTTATTGTTATTGTTATTGTTGTTGTTGTTGTTATTGTTATTGTTGTTGTTGTTGTTTACCATCTTCCAAGGTAATCCTGAGATACAGTCACAAACAATAGCTATAAAAACTTACAGTACTTCATAAAACATAGAAAAAAAATCCTAAATGTTCAAAAAACAGATCTCAACAGATCTCAACTCCAGAGTTGAGAAAACAGATCTCAACTCCAAGAATTTCCCTTTTTTTTCTAAAATCCGATAACGGATCTGAAGTTTGCTCCGTTCATCGGGGGCTGAGGACGTTGATGAAAATGGTTTTCTTATGTCAATGTTGAAGAAGAACACAGTCCCAAACCGACATCCTTCCTCACCTTGTTCATCTTCCTCCCTTAACTCCCGCCCACTACGACGTAGAAACCCTCAACAAGTGGTGCAGCCAATGAGACGCACCTCCCCAGTAGAGGGAGGGAGGGGGGACGGGGTGAAGGGGTTGGAGGAGAGGAGCAGAAAGACAAACGCTCAGAGGGGAGAGAGTAAGTGACCACTCAGTCACCTATAAGGTCTGTTGTTTTTCTCCACGCACGTTTTGTTTGCACTTCTCCGCGTAACGATCCAGTGCCGGATTATCGAGAGAGAGATCGAGGTGATTTGCCCCGGGTTCTCGTCTTACTGGAGATCCATTAGGAGTGTGTGTGTGTGTGTGTGACTGAGTCGGAATCAGTGCTATGGGATTAGAAGCTGCAGAGAGAGAAACTTCTCCTGAATGATGGAAACTTTTCTTCACCTTCAGTCAGAGTTTCTGTTTTTAGTTCTCTGCCCAACCATGTATGGATAACAGCCCCGCGATTCTCTCCTGAGTCCGGCTGGAATGGACGAGCGCTGACGGGAGCCGGGAACACGCAGAGCGCTGGCAGCCTGTTGATCGCCCTAGAGTCGGGCCTCAAACATACATCTGCCCTCTCTCCACCGCGAACCACCGTTTGTTCCGAACACTCTACAACCAGGGCAGCTGTGTAGAAGTTTCACTTATGACACCGCTGTGACTTTCTCTGCAGCCAAAACAATGGCAGCCCACGACGCGCTGGCACGGGGCGTCTGCAGATCGTTATCGGCTCTGACTTGTGTACTTCTGGTTTTGGTTTATTTGTCCGTGGCCTCGCCGCACCACGGCCGGCGGATGATTTGCTGGCAAGCCATCCTCAACTGCCAAGCCGAGCCCGAGTGCAATTACGCGTACGATCACTACACCCGCGCCTGCGGTCCGGTGCTCAGCGGGCAGAGGAAGAAGTGTCCCAGCCACTGCATCTCGTCCCTGGTGCAGCTCAACCTCACCAAAAGTGGACCGGCGCTGGAGGACTGCAGCTGCGCCCATGACGCGGTCTGCACCGGCACCAAACGGGCCATCGAGCCCTGTCTGCCCAGGACTACAAGTACCGGCTGCACGGAGGCGCGCCGCCAGTGCGAGAGAGACCAGCAGTGCAACTCGGCGATGCACGACTACCTGACCCACTGCGGGAAACTTTTCAGCGGCGCGGTGTGCTCCAACGCGTGCAGGAACGTGATCGCAAACATGCGTAAAATACCCAAGGGCCAGCAGCTGGAGACGTGCATGTGCGACGGCACGGAGAGAGCCATCTGTGAGTTTGTGAAGAGCAGCATGAAGGCGCTGTGCTTCGACACGGCGGAGAGGTTCGAGGCCAGCGCAGACGACGGCGTGGATCAGGAGTACGGAGAAGATTTCTGGGAACCGGACTACAGAGAGACAGTCTCTACCGAGAGTAGCGCCTCTGCATCGGCTGCTGGCTTCGCCCTGCTCCTGCTGACCTCCGTTCTCGTCCTCCTGCCCTCCTTTTAACCACAGTGCTCCATAATCTGCCCCTCGACTTTTGTCTGGATAAAAGGCAAATTCAACTTTTTGTCACCCGGTGACTCCCCACTCCTCTGAAGGACTGAAGGAGGAGGGCAGGGTGGAGGCACCAGCCGTGTTTTTGGAAGATGATTTTCTATGCAAAGGAAAACAAAGGTGTTTTTTTGTTTGTTTGTTTTTGTTTTGTTTTTATCAGCACACACTTAAACTCGGGCTGTTGTTTCTCTCACACACTCTCTTATCGACAGCTCACCAGCCTTCACATCTCCACAGGCTTTGCTTACGCGATAAGCTGAACGGGATTGTTGTCTTTCTCACAGCCTCGGACTGATGAAGTGAAGGTGTCCTGAAAGAGACGACGTCTAATCATCACACATGCTGTGCACTGCCGAGAAATGTTTTTGTTTTGTTTTGAATAAGATGTTAGGGATGCACGATAAGTATTTTTAGCCGATAACTCCCGATTATCATTCTGGTTTTTTTTCCGCTTGTTTACCAACGTCAGGTTAAATGATTTAGGACTGATTGAGCAAATGACAGAACAAAACTTAGGCAACAAAGATAATATAGCAACGATAATATTGTTAATTAAGACGTTAAGGACAAAAATAAATACCTTCTAAAGATGTTTTTACTGTCTTCAGCAAACTTTTTAAATTTTTTTTTTTTAAAAAACCTGTTGAATAAATAAACCCACTTTTAGCTACACTTGTTTTTAACATTCATGCTAGCTGCTACGGCTGCGGCTTCTTCATAATAACTCAATACACCTGCTTGTGATGTTTAAGTTAAATTTGTTGTCTTGAGGCTAGTACTTTTCTCTCATCCCAAAATTTTGGCTAACCCAGTTCCGTTACCATGCAAATCGCCTAGCGAAAATGGCTAACATCTTGCATTAGCGCCAGTTAGCCATTTATGTTAGCTTCTACGCTAATCACTCTGACATCAGGAACGCACAGTTTCTCATCGTAGCAAACCTCGAAACATCAACTTGGGACAATAAATCAACTAACCATCGGCCAGTTATCGGATTTAAGTTTATCGTGCATCCCTAAAATATATGAACTGTTTTTTGTTTTTGTTTTTTTGTATATGATGGGCTGCGGCCCTGGACTGGTGACAGTTTGTCAGATAGACTGCTATTTAATGCTGGAGTCTGTATCAACGTGTAAATAGACTAGGAGTGAAAGTGAAACAGTAATTTATTACAGGCAACATCAGTTACATCCAAATGTCCATCATGTGAATAGAAGACTGAAAAATTCCAGCTTTAAAGGGAACCTTAATGCGACTGTATTCTCTACAGAGATGATGTATATTGTACATATGTTTATAGCCTATATTGATTCTTTTTTGTTTTTGGTCCAGAGAATTCTCTATGTTACTGGGCGGGGGGGTGGGGTGGGGGCGCTATGAAATGGTTTATCCTTTGTGTGCACGGCCTATAGAGAAAGAAATGTCTAAATTCACTGTATGGTTGCCTTATTGATATACTTTTATAGAAAGGCATAAAGGAAACTTGAAGATATCTTTGTTGACTGTGACTTATTTACACTTTTATAAACAACTTTTGTTTTTTTTAAAAAAAGATGAACTCTAAAACCACTTTGTAACAACAATAGCTTCTTATTGAATATTTTATCTTAATTTTATAATGATATTCTACTGGCGTTCTACACTCAAGCACTGGGCTAGTGCTTACATACCAGACTTTTTCTTATTCGAAAAAAAAAACACATTAATTTGCAGCTAATTTAAAAAAAAAATGTAGGAAATAAAAAAAAACTACAAACAAAACTTTAAAAACATTATTATCCATCTATCTTAATAAAATACCATTATTTTGGCCCTGTTTTCACTGGCTCTCACGAGCTTCCATTAGGGATCATTTCACGTCTGTTATGACTTCAAAAGCGACCAAATCTACTACACTGTGTGTGGTATTTACAGTGTATCAGCTCCATTTAGAATACAGAGCGGTCCTTTGTGTTTATACCGATACCCTAATTATTCCCCCTGTGTTTATTTAACCAGCTCTCAGAGCCGCTGACACCCTCTGATCTCCACTGCGTTGGTTGATTTACACTATATTTATACTATAGCTGTCAAGAGCATCTGAAAACACGGATACGATTTTATTTTTTAAATAAATAATAACACAAACTGTACTTACACCTGTTAAAAAGCAGTATAACTTTATCATGAAAAGTACCTTAAAACATAGTATTAATAGATGCCATGTCCTTATTGAAGTTCTCCCGTGAGATTAAAATCTTCAGCAGTACTTTGTGTAGAAGTTGTGTTTTTGGTTGAGATTCTAAGTAAATTCATGGTTTATTTAGTAGAAACTCACACTGTAGAGTTTTCAAATCTCACCTCAACATCTTAAGTTGTCGTATTTATTCATTTTAACCTTTGTGCGTTTTTGTACACACCGTTTGTCCTTGCAATGATTTTCATCTTGGCCCAGAATATGAGTATTAATGAGTATGAGGAGAAGTTGATAAAGCACACGCACACACACACAGAAAGACATATTGGGTCTAGGTGACCCCGGGTCAGAGGACTTTACAAGGGTTAAAAAGTATACTTTTACTCTCTCAGTACTCCTAAAACACATCTTTGTGACTTGGAGAATGTGGAGCTACACAAACACGCCGTCATCATTTCCTGTCCTGGTTTTTATTTTCACGTTGTAGCTCATGACTCCTCTTTATTTAGTTGACATCAACCATTGATTTGCTGCAATTTTTATTTTCAGAAGGGGGAAGGAGGGGGGGCAAAAGAGCCCTCCAGTTCAATAGATGGAGAAGAAGTCGAGTGGCATCTTTGTTATGGAAATGTTAAGCACATAATAGTTGGGTAGCACAATAGGGAGGCACTTCATTCTTTCAGGCCCGGCTTGACACCTTTGGAGAGCCGAACGACGGGGAAGCATGTGGGAACGATCTGCTGCCGCTCGGATCTCAACCCTTCACTGCGAGAAAAGAAGGGACTAAAAAAAAAGAAAAAACGGGTGACAGGCGTGCGCTGATGGACGCTTCTGTCCTGGTTTCTCACCTAACATATGTTTCTTCACCAAACAATACTTTTCCACCATAAAAAGACCCGGTGAATACGGTCTCTGAAAGATATCTGGTCCGAAGGTTCAGTTTCCAACAAAATGTCGCACGAAATCCAATGTTGTGGTTGCTGCAATGAGCAGTCGTCTTCCTGAGCGAGGGTCTTACTTTACACCGTAGGTATGTGCATGAAATTTAATGCAGGAAAAATGTGTTGCCTGCAGCCTCTCCTCCTCCTTCTCCTCCTCCTCCTTCTCCTCCTTCTCCTCTCCCTCATTACTCCTATTCGCAGTTGTTCACACGGGTTTGACACATAGAAAAAGCACAGCATGGAATTATTAATGCACAGTGTCAATGACTGATTGAAGAAAAAAAAATCCCACGAAACTGACATAAGGTTACAAATGGTATAAAATTGTTTTTAAAAAAAGTATCTGGTTTTGTATTTTTGTACACACTGTTTGTCTTTGCAATGATTTTCATTTTGTCCCAGAATATGAGTATTAATGAATATGAGGAAAAGTTGGCACAAGTCATGCAGTACAGGAACATGCACACACATGCACACACACACACACACACACAAACACACACACACACACACAAACACACACACACACACACAAACACACACACACACACACAAACACACACACACACACACAGACATATTGGACTTTACAAGGGTTAACACTGTAGAAAAAAAACATGTGTGTGTCATTCTGGTATAACTATACTTGCGGGGACACATTTTTTGAAGCAGTGCTATTGTTGCGGGGACACTGTTTTTCTGGGGACATTTTTCTTAAGTTCTCACTGAGTGAGAGGGTAAAATAAATAAATACAATTTTTAAAAAAGGTTCATTTTGGAAATTTGGAGAAATTTAGAATTAGCGTATTTATAATATTTCTAACAGTTAATTCTGGGTTAAAATGCTAGGGAATGGATTATGTCTATGTTAAACAGTTAATAACATTTAAAAAAATGTGTGGAGAGGGGGTGTGTATGTGTGGTGGGG